AGTAAGTTTGTAAAACGGGAATAGGGTGAGTGGTGGTGGTGAGGGCGAGTGTTGAGGGTGAGTGGTTAGGGTGAGTAGTGAGGGTGAGTGGTGAGCGTGAGTGGTGAGGGATAGTGGTGAGGGAGAGTGGTGAGGGAGAGTGGTGAGGGAGAGTAGTGAGTGGTGAGGGTGAGTGGTAAGTGGTGAGGGTGAGTGGTAATTGGTGAGGGTGAGTGGGGAGGGTGAGTGTTGAGGGTGAGTGGCGGTTGTTAGTGGTGATTAGTGAGGGGTGAGTGGTGAGGGTGAGCGTGAGTGGTGAGGGTGAGGTTGAGTGGTGAGCAGTGAGGGTGAGTGGTGATTGGTGAGGGTGTGATTGGTGAGGATGAGTGGTGAGGGTGAGTAGTGAGGGTGAGTGGTTGTTGTGAGGGTGAGTGGTTGTTGTGAGGGTGAGTGGTGAGGGTGAGTGGTAAGAGTGAGTGGTGAGGGTGAGTGACGGTTGTGAGAGGTGATTAGTGAGTGGTGAGGGTGAGTGGTGAGGGTTAGTGGTGAGCATGAGTGGTGAGGGTGAGTGTTGAGCGTGAGTGGTGAGGGTGAGTGGTGATTGTTGAGGGTGTGATTGGTGAGGATGAGTGGTGAGTAGTGAGGGTGAGTGGTGAGGGTGAGTGGTGAGTGGTGAGGGTGAGTGGCGGTTGTGAGTGGTGATTAGTGAGGGGTGAGTGGTGAGGGTGAGCGTGAGTGGTGAGGGTGAGTGGTGAGGGTGAGCGGTGAGGGTGAGCAGTGAGGGTGAGTGGTGATTGGTGAGGGTGTGATTGGTGAGGATGAGTGGTGAGTGGTCAGGGTGAGTGGTGAGGGTGAGTGGTGAGTGGTGAGGGTGAGTGTTGAGGGTGAGTGGTGAGTGGTTAGGGTGAGTAGTGAGGGTGAGTGGTGAGCGTGAGTGGTGAGTGGTGAGCGTGACTGGTGAGGGTGGGTGGTGAGGGAGAGTGGTGAGGGAGAGTGGTGAGGGAGAGTGGTGAGGGAGAGTGGTGAGGGTGAGTGGTGATTGGTGAGGGTGAGTGGTGAGGGTGAGTGGGGAGGGTGAGTGGCGGTTGTTAGTGGTGATAAGTGAGGGGTGAGTGGTGAGGGTGAGCGTGAGTGGTGAGCAGTGAGGGTGAGTGGTGATTGGTGAGGGTGTGATTGGTGAGGATGAGTGGTGAGTGGTCAGGGTGAGTGGTGAGGGTGAGTGGTGAGCGGTGAGGGTGAGCGGTGAGGGTGAGTGTTGAGGGTGAGTGGTGAGCGGTGAGGGTGAGCGTTGAGGGTGAGTAGTGAGGGTGAGTGGTGAGCGTGACTGGTGAGTGGTGAGGGTGAGTGGTGAGGGAGAGTGGTGAGGGAAAGTGGTGAGGGTGAATGGTGAGGGTGAGTGGTGAGGGTGAATGGTGAGGGTGAGTGGGGAGGGTGAGTGGTGAGGGTGAGTGGGGAGGGTGAGTGGCAGTTGTGAGTGGTGATTAGTGAGGGGTTGGGTGGTGAGGATGAGCGTGAGTGGTGAGGGTGAGGTTGAGTGGTGATTGGTGAGGGTGCGATTGGTGAGGATGAGTAGTGAGGGTGAGTGGTTGTTGTGAGGGTGAGTGGTGAGGGTGAGTGATGAGGGTGAGAGGTAAGAGTGAGTGGTGAGGGTGAGTGACGGTTGTGAGAGGTGATTAGTGAGTGGTGAGGGTGAGTGGTGAGGGTTAGTGGTGAGCATGAGTGGTGAGGGTGAGTGTTGAGCGTGAGTGGTGAGGGTGAGTGGTGATTGTTGAGGGTGTGATTGGTGAGGATGAGTGGTGAGTAGTGAGGGTGAGTGGTGAGGGTGAGTGGCGGTTGTGAGTGGTGATTAGTGAGGGGTGAGGGTGAGCGTGAGTGGTGAGGGTGAGCAATGAGGGTGAGCAGTGAGGGTGAGTGGTGATTGGTGAGGGTGTGATTGGTGAGGATGAGTGGTGAGTGGTCAGGGTGAGTGGTGAGGGTGAGTGGTGAGGGTGAGTGGTGAGAGGTGAGGGTGAGTGTTGAGGGTGAGTGGTGAGGGTGAGTGGTGAGCGTGAGTGGTGAGGGAGAGTGGTGAGGGAGAGTGGTGAGGGAGAGTGGTGAGGGTGAATGGTGAGGGTGAGTGGTTGAGTGGTGAGGGTGAGTGGCAAGTGGTGAGGGTGAGTGGTGATTGGTGAGGGTGTGATTGGTGAGGATGAGTGGTGAGTGGTGAGGGTGAGTAGTGAGGGTGAGTGCCGAGCGGTGAGGGTGAGTGGTTGTTGTGAGGGTGAGTGGTGAGAGTGAGTGGTGAGGGTGAGTGGTGAGGGTGAGTGGTGATTGTTGAGGGTGTGATTGGTGAGGATGAGTGGTGAGTAGTGAGGGTGAGTGGTGAGGGTGAGTGGTGAGGGTGAGTGTTGAGGGTGAGTGGTGAGGGTGAGTGGCGGTTATGAGTGGTGATTAGTGAGGGGTGAGTGGTGAGGGTGAGCGTGAGTGGTGAGGGTGAGCAGTGCGGGTGAGTGGTGATTGGTGATTGGTGAGGGTGTGATTGGTGAGGATGAGTGGTGAGTGGTCAGGGTGAGTGGTGAGGGTGAGTGGTTGTTGTGAGGGTGATTGGTGAGGATGAGTGGTGAGGGTGAGTGGCGGATGTGAGTGGTGATGGGTGAGTGGTGAGCGGTGAGGGGTGAGTGGTGAGGGTGAGTGGTGAGGGTGAGTGGTGAGGGTGAGTGCTGAGTGGTGAGGGTGAGTGGTGAGAGAGTGGTTAGTTTTGAGGGTGAGTGGTGAGGTTGAGTGGTGAGGGTTAGTGGAGAGTGGTGAGTGATGATTGGTCAGTGGTGATTGGTGAGGATGAATGGTGAGTAGTGAGGGTGAAGTTGAGTGGTGCGGGTGAGTGGTGGTTGTGACGGTGAGTCGTGAGGGTGAGTGGTGAGGGTGAGTGGTGAGGCTGAATGGTGAGGGTGAATGGTGAGAGTGAGTGGTGAGTGGTGAGGGAGAGTGGTGAGTGAGAGTGGTGAGGGTTAGTGGTGAGGGTTAGTGGTGAGAGTGAGTGGTGAGGGTGAGTGGTGATTGGTGAGTGGTGAGGGTGAGTGGTGAGGGTGAGTGGTGAGGGTGAGTGGTGAGGGAGATTGGTGAGGGAGGTTGGTGAGTTGTGAGGGTGAATGGTGAATAGTGAGTGGGAGTGGTGAGTGGTGAGGATGAGTGGTAAGGGTGAGTTGTGAGTGGTGAATGGTGAGGGTGAATGATGAGTACAGTCAATATGCACTGCTGTTATCATACCAGGTACCACCACCACAATATGTACTCCTCTCATCATCGCAGATACCACCACAGCAGTATGCACTGCTGTAATCATAGCAGGTACCAACACAGCAGTATGCACTGCTGTAATCATAGCAGGTACCAACACAGCAGTACACTGCTGTAGTGATAGCAGGTACGACCTCAGTCGGTATACACTGCTGTAGTGATAGTAGATACTGCTATCGAGTTGGTAGATACCGCTATAGTAAATACTTAAACAGTCAGTATATACCACTACAGTCAGTCAATACTGCTACAGTCAGTATATACTACTATACAGTCAGTACATACTGCTACGGTGAGTTGCTACTAGAGTCAGTAGATACTATTATAGAGTGAGTAGATACTGCTATAGATTTTGTAGTCACTACTATAGTCAGTGGATACAACTATAGAGTCAGCAGATACTATACAGTTAGTCGTTACGAGTATATAGTCGGTAGATACTACTGTAGGCCCAGTAAATACTACTATGGTCAGTAGTTATTACAGTCACTAAATACTACTACACAGTCAGTAGCTACTACTGGCTCAGTAGATACTACGGTACAGTCAGTAGATACTACTACAGAGTCAATATATACCACTTCCTCTGTTGTATGTAAGGTGTTGTTAGTATATATACCTACGAGGGGTAAAGATATTTTTTGATGGGGGGGGGAGACCACAATTTTCAGAAACATTTTGACATCAACTATTTACCCCACACTTTCTACAACTTTTTGGACTTGTGAAAGCCTCTTATATATTTGTTGGTGGAGAAATGTACAAACAGCCCACCGGGCTTTGACAATACCTTAGTATCTGTGTATATATATGTAAGGTTTTTAAGAAATATATTTTTCACCCGGGCAAAGCCGGGTACTTCCGCTAGTTATATATAAAAAATGGCCACCCCCACAGCCTCGTTTGTCAATCTCAAACCTTTATAATTCCCTGCCTTAGCAGCTCCCACCATATATTATCAGCAGCTCACCCTCGATTTTTTTTTCACCTGATGACGATTGTTTGTGTTGCGATCGAAACGTCGTGATATTGTTATTATTTTTTTATTTGTTCTATCTGCGTGGCTTTACCGAAAGACCCAAAGAATATGAATTCCTGCAGTCACAAAAGCTTTAAATCAAGATTTAACACACCATAGTCATAATTACAGTATTGTCAAATCATCATACCGATTCAAACATCCCCCGTATAGCCTTTAACAGACAGGTTGGCAAGTGCTATCAGCGAGCACCTATGACGGCCGGCACCACGCCAGGCTGCCTTTGTCTCCCGAGTGCTGACGTTTACACACCGCACCCGATACTTAGGGGAGTTCCAAGGACCGATTTATATATCCGTCAATCGTATTGGTGGTGAGCAGGAATCGAGCTCGGGTAACCGGGTTCGTAGCGCCGTGCGCTGACAACTACGCCACCGTATCTTCATAGCTGACGTCTGCAGCAAGCGGCGAACGCGTTATCGATGGGCCGCATCACCGCTCACGTATCTCTGCGCGTGTACCCATCTATGTGTGTGTACCCATGTGTGCGTACCCATGTGTGCAAGCTGTCAATCGAAAATATCTGTCCGTTTACCCACGTGCCCGCGTTGTTAATTCTATGTGTGTGTACCTATCCATCAGTATATGTATCTATGTATCTGTGTACCCACGTGTCCACGCTGTCAATCCTATCAATGTGTGTGTGTACCTTATCTATCGATGTGTGTGTGTGTACCCCCCACGTGTCCACGCTGTCGGTCCTCACCGGACGTGAGCTGCATCCAGGCGCACACCTTGTAGACGGTGGCCGAGGTGCAGAAGAAGAAGAGGCTGAAGCACACGAGGCACGCGATCACCAGCAGCATGGAGATGCCGATGAAGAAGCCCGCCGTCTTGAAGGCGCTCGACGGCACCGCGCTGAAGTCCATGAAGCTGCCACTGCAGACCTGGGGACGGCGGGCGGCAGGGGAGAGGGCACCCCCGCGGAGAGGGACCGAGGAAGGTCTGGACCCTCGCTTTGGTCCCATGAACGAATGGGCTGTCAGCTGGGCAAATGAATGAGTCTGAATGAATGGGCCTCACTTCAGGAGCGCTTCGTGGCGTTATTTATTAACGGTCGTCTCGTATTCACCACGTGCATTGCGGTTCTTGAAATATTGAGTTTGTTACCGAATTCGAAAAAAAATACTCTTACTGTTATTTTGATTTCCGACCCCTGGGTTAAAGGAAGGGCCTCTCATCTGGCTGTGTGTGTGTGTGGATCAGGGCCGGTGGTGGGCCCAGACAATCCCCCTCTCCTACTCGTGGACGGCGAGTCGCTGTAACCGTGCACACCCCCCCACCCCTACCACACAACCGCTCGACTGCCCCCCACCCCAATCCAAGAGGAGCTGCCCAGTAAATGTGCAACGTTGCGCCAACGTTGACATGCGGTTGGCCCAAAGTTCAATGCCAGCTGGGCTGACATTGTCCACCCCGTGGGTGATGCGCGCGTGTGAATGGGTGAACGCGTGTCTGTTGGGTGCCGTGAGCGCAGTGGTTAGCGCGCTGCGCTACGAACCTGGCCACCTGAGTTCGATTCCCGCTCACGGCCAACACCGGTGACGATTATCTGAACCTATTGTGGGCCTCCCGTAGGTCGACTCAGCCTCAAGTGAGTACCTGGTGCGGTGTGTAAACATCAGCACTGGGAAGAGAAAGGCGGCCGGGCGTGGTGCTGGCCACCCACCCCCTCGTCTGCCACGCCAAACTTCGTAGGTGCTACTCGCTAACAGCACTTGCCCCAATAGCCTGTCAAGGCTATACGGGGGATCTTTGTGTTGTTGTGTCTCTGGGCGCAGCGGAGCCCTCCTCACCATCTCACGCGTGAGGCTGTTGCCGATGCAGTAGCTGAAGAGGCCGAAGTATCCGGCCTGCGGCGTGTCCACGCTGTCTCCGATCCAGAAGGGCTGGATGAAGCTCACCACGTTGAGGATGGCGAAGCAGATGGTGAAGATGGCCCACAGGACACCCACGGCACGCGCGTTTCTCACGTAATTGGTGTGGTAGATTTTGGCGGCCTCGTGTGCAGGACAACATGGTGGTGGTGGTGGATGATGATGCTGATGATGATGTGGTGTATGTGAAGATGTGGTGATGACGTTGATTAGGATGAGTGTGATTGTGATGCTGGAGGTGGTTCTGATGGTGATGCTGATCTTGATAACGATGAAGATGGTTGCTGATGGTGATGATAGAGGTGGTTAAGTATTATGATTGTGGTTGTGACGGTGACGACGTGATGATTATTTTGTTGATGACGACGATGGTCATCGTGATTGTCATGCTCAGCGTGATGAGTATCACATGAGGGTGACGACGTTGATGATGATGGTGATGGCTAAGATGGCCCTCACCTGCCGATCAACTAAAATGATCACCCGCTCGGTCAAAGAAATGATGTCTCACCTAACAAAATAAATGTACTCTCGACCGATCAAATTATTTGAACTCTCACCTCACCTGACAATACCGGAGCATATTTTTGGCGTGAATTGTCTGCGGCTGCGGCCACCCCAGGTGCCCGTTCGACGCAAAATTTCAGCTGCGCACCGACAGAGGAGGAGGAGGACGTTGCACGACGGGCGCAGTGAACTCTTCAACAGGAGGATGAGGAGGAGAAGGTGGAGTGTGGTGGTGGGTGGAGGGGGAGTTGAACTCGATAGGGGCTTCTGGAATTTGAGACTCAAATTGGAGCTGTAAAAGGCAGCTGCCTCCATCAACTATTCATGATGGAGCCCAACGGCCTCACGAAGAAGCACAACACAGATGTCCCTCTGCCATCGAGATCACCCTCTTCCTGCCGGTATTAGGAAGCCGCTGGAGCTATGCACTTTCATTTCTTTAGAACTGTGTGTTGTGTTTCGTTGTCCTTTCCCCGCGCCTCCGACTAGCGAGGTTGGCTACGTACGGGGCGAAAAAATAAGTTCAACATACGTACTGTACAGGGTGGTCCAGATGTCTTGTGACCTACAATTAACTGAACTCTAACATGTTTTTTTCTTTGCATGTTAATTTCTGTTTGAGATCAACCTTTTTTTTTTTTACAAAAATATAAAGTTTCAGAGAGTTACAAGACATCTGCACCTCCCTGTACATATATCCACACGGAAGTAAACTCAACCCATCATCCCAGCTTCAAGGCCAATTAAATTGGTACAACTTTCAGAATTCAGAAGTCAACAGTTGTGGTTTTGTGTGTGTGTGTAGTTGTTTGTACATAACCCCAAAGGCCTCTCTCCCTCTCGTGGCAAAGTCACCAGCAACAGACAGTCCCTCTGATGGTACAGCAGATGAGGAAACGCGTTTGTTGAATTGAGGAAGGTGATAGGAATGGGTAGGAAAACGATGATGGAATTATTGACGAACGTGTTACGTTTGTGTAATAACACAGGCAGTCTCGTTGCATAACAACAACATGGCTAATCACGTAAAGGTTGGACCTGTTGACAACATTCACATCATGTTTTGCTCCGATTTCAACCAAAACGTGAACACTACCAGCTACACGGCGACAGAACGGGGCTGGTGACATTCCACGTGGCCGCTGTGGCACTTGGGCTGATTTATTCATATGTCACAAATGTGAGGTGACAGTCGTGGAAATATCAAGTGAGGGAGACAAAGACGCAGCTCACGGTGGGCAACAGCACATCTGATGATGAATGCGGCCTCATCACATCACACACCGTCCTCCACAACTAACAGTTGAACTTCGATTTAAAGCTTTCGTGACTGCAAGGATTCATCTTCTTGGTTCTTTCGGTAAAGTCACGTAGAAGGGAAGTAATAAAATAATAAAAATAAAACATAATAAAATAATTCTCACGACGTTTCGGCCACAACACAAGTAGCCGTCCTCAGGTGAAAAACATGTCTTACTTATTATTACTTCCCTTCTACGTGACTTTACCGAAAGAACCAAGAAGATAACAGTTGAACCTTATGGCGGTACACTGGGGTTCCATAGCACCTCGGCTCTCGCACAATGTCCGTGATGCAGTCATTTTTAGTCTGTGGATGGTCGGCGATGCGGCAATCGACTCATCTCGACGAGCTCTACATGATGCACTATTCAAAGTTGAATTTTTCGATAACGGATTTTTTTATGCTGATGTTTGGTGTTTCGACATAGCAGAGTGTGGCACCGATTTTGGATTGATTGGTTACCCCAGCCGCGGAGTTATTACTTCCCTTCTGGAAAAGATAGTGTCCCAGAAATAACATTTAATTGCCTCGGCCCATTTTGTATTATTTGGTATCCCGGGGTACCGCCATAAGGATCAATTGGTCAGGCCGGGCCTGTCCACGCAACACAAACAAATTTCGGTTCCTCCTGGGGTAAGGATGTGTGATGCATGGTTCAAAGCTGGGGGACAGGGTGAAAGACACGTCGATCCCAGACCCGAGTCACATCTCACACCGGATTCAATATTGTTTCCAAATGGACATAATCTCAACTACTAAACTATTTTGTATTTTCCCAGGTAAGGCTCATTGAGCTGTTTCGCTCTTTTTCAGAAGAGATCTGGCCACAAATGAAAGCTTACCATGTGGAAATGTATCGCAGCCAAATACTGGAAATGCATGTTTCTAAATGTGGAGGGAAAAAAACCGGAGGACTCGGAGAAAAATGCACGTGACCACGAGGAGAGAGACATGCAAACTCCAAATATACAGCAGGCGTCAGGGTCGGGATCAAACCCACGACTTCCTGTATACCAGGCGAGGTACACTGTAAAAAATGTGACACATTGTTACTTAAAAAAATTATGGCAACAAAGTGACACGTAATATAATTGAGTAGATTTTAAGCACTACAACTTTGAATAAAAAGTGTTGAATAAATTAACTAAAAAATTATAATAAAAAATAAGTACATGGTAATAAAAGCAACAGTTAAAATGTGTTGGATTTAGTAATATGATTCCAAATGATGAGTTATATAGCCTAAAAAAAATTGTGTAAATCCAAATAGATTTTACAAGGAAAAGTGATTTATATTTACTTAATATCTGAGCAATGGTAATTTAGATTTACTAAATATCTGGTGGAATCTGATTAATATTTATTAATGATCTGGGTGAAATTGATTTACATTTACTAATTGTCTGGGTGAAATTGATATAAGCTTACTAAATATCTGGATCAAAATTATTTGGATTTACTAAATAAAATACTTATATTGAATGTCTGTTGCCATAACTTTTCTATTTCTAATCCACCCATAATCATGCCTTCGTGGTGCCACAATTCACTTACGTTAAGTCAACCGATCACCATGAAAAAGATAAGAACCATGAAAAGGAACAGCAGGTTAACATTTATTCGTGCAATTTTGTCTCAACATGTTTATCCAACATATTACAAGTACAAAACAAAGACAGAAATCATGTATGTGTACAATAGGGATACAATACTGGAGGTATTTATAATTTGTGGGCATTACAGGCACAGATTACTTTTTTGGATGTGATTCAAGGTTTAGTCTTTTTAGCACATTTAAATTACGACAATGTTTTAAAAAAAATCTGTAAAAAAACTTTCATATTATTTCTTTTTTATATGCGCAAATTGAAATCCTAAGGGCCAATATGTTTTTCAAACAGCTAAAAGAGATTAAAACATTACGTGAATTGACTTGCATTCCCTGTACTTATACTAGTAGCCATAATCCACAATCCGGGTGGACCTATCTTTTTTAACATGCATAATTACAGTACAAGCATGGCTTTCTAACAAGTAAACTAGCACAGCCTACAGATGTTCTATGCATCTTACATCTATTCCTTTAGAACAAACACTTGCAATGGCCTAGGTCAGCGTCACATCAGAAGAAAGCACAATGTTAGAACACCCAAGAAACATTAAACAAAAATAAAGATAGCTTTCAATAACAAATCAGTGCATTCTCTGATAGCCTATCAGATGTATAGGCCTATAACGCAGAACTTTGACCGTCAGACTCAGTTATTAACTCGTTAAGCTCAGTCAAACTGAAGTACTTCTTCTTGGTGAAAATCTGAAAACACAATGCTAGTTCCCTTGGGACTATGCCTTCCAAAAGGTCATGTAGTACATCTGGTGGGTACCCAGACTCAAAATGAAAGTGATTTAATTTATCAGTCAATGGACACGACCGCTTTACGCCAAAGCAATGAGTAACATTTGGATTTTCTCTCAGTTTGCACATGCAAACTATGTTCCTTCTTTGTCCGAGGTGGAAACACTCCGGTCCGCACTTCGTGTGTCTGGTACTCTGAAGAATGTCCAAGACAAAATCTACAGATGTACGGCCCCGTGAAACATTCAACTAGTCCACTGATAGAATGTGCATCGAGATTGTCAGCTACAACACAATGTACTGTCCCTTTAATGTTTTTTCCAACACTGGAAATGAAAATCCCTTCCTGTTCTAGAATGACAAGATCCTTCAAGAGTGGTTCCAAAACTGCTCTGTATTCAAACTGTTTGACATCAACAGCTTTGCAAAGTAAAGCTAGGTGTATTGACGTTAATGCAGATTGCAACTTTGTTGGAACATTTGCCAAAACCCAATAAACAGCTGTTATTTTGTGTTTTTTTTCTCGAAGTTCCTAGTGGGTTACTTCAAAGTCGTCAACGTAAAGGATTATAGACAGTCTTGTTTCTTCCCCAGCATAAAATACATTTTGCTTGAAGGATTTTTCATCAAAAATTGACTTAATATATCCAGTACTATTTGATTTTCTGGATAAAATTATTTCTGCAATGTCTTCATTCTTCAAGACTTCCTGCAAAGTCTGGAGAATAGGCACATATTGAAAGGTCTTGTTCTTTTCAGTATCAATAATATATTCAATGCTATCAACACACTGGAAATGCACCTTAAAATACTTTCTTCTCTTAAAAGCCGAACCAAGTGGACCACCTGCTCCAAGTGCTGTACTAATAGGATGGAAGTTGCACAACTGCTGACAATTCAGTTACGATGGCCTGGTCAACAATGCATTTATTCACCTTCAATGTTGAATCTAGTATGTTCCTAACAACTGCAACTGATACTGAAGATGAAATGAACTGAAGGTCTTCAACCAAGGCATCAATGCACTTCACTGAGGCATTATAGATGGTTTCTAGCTTCAGTAGAAGTAAGCCAATTCTTTGAAGAACTAAGTATGATGCACTTTCCTGATCACAATCTAAACTAGTGCCC